GAACTTGGTAGTGTACTCATTTGATGAATTTATGGGATCGTTGCAGTCTCACGAGGTGAGATTGAATCGGCAAGAAGAGAAAGTTGAAGAAAATACTTTTCAAGTGAAGGGGGAGACATCAGCTGGAAGAGGCCGTGGTAGAGAAGGTCGTAGTGGTCGAGGAGCTGGCAGAGGCTATGGTTGAGGTGGACGTGATCATGAGCAGTATGATGATTCACAAGCTGATGAAAAGCCAAAGGGCCATTGGGCTAATGTTCAATGTTACTACTGCAAGGAATATGGGCATATCAAGGCAAGCTTTTCATGGCATTTCAAAAAGATGCAGCTAGTGACAGTGATGTTTGGTATTTGGATAGTGGATGCTCAAATCATATGAGTACAGAAAAGTCTTTATTCAGAGAACTTGATGAAACTTTCAAAGTGAAGGTGACACTTGGAGATGACAAACAAGTGCAAGTGGAGGGAAAAGGTGTTGTAGCCTGGAGAGGTGGAAACGGTAATGTTAAACTTCTCTATAATGTCTACTTTGTACCAAGTTTGTCACAAAATTTGTTGAGTATCGCAGAATTGATGTCCAGTGGATATTCTCTTTTCTTTGATGAAGACTCTTGTGTGGTTAGAGATAAAAAATCAAACCACTTGTTGTTAATGTTAAAATGATTGGAAATAGGCTTTTTCTGCTTAAAGTTTCTAATGTGAAAAATTATGCTCTTGTTGTTAGAGATTTTAGCGAGTCTGAATTATGGCATCTGAGGTATGGCCATTTAAATGTGAATGGCTTGAAATTGTTGCATAATAAAGAAATGGTGTGTGGGCTGCCTAAGATTGAGTCACTTGAGTTGTGTGAAGAATGTATATTTGGCAAGCAAAGTAAGCTTCCGTTTCCAGCTGGGAAGGTTTGGAGAGCATTTAGAACTCTTGAATTGGTTTATGCTAATTTATGTGGTCCTATGAAGACTGAGTCCTTTGGAGGTAGTCAGTATTTCTTGCTTTTTACTGATGATTATAGCCGCATGAGTTGGGTTTATTTTCAGCAACTCAAGTCTGAAACTTTTGATAATTTCAAGAAGTTTAAGGATTATGTTGAGAAGCAAAGTGGCACATCGATTAAAGCTCTTCGATCCGACAGAGGTGGTGAGTTCTTGTCTAACCAATTTTCTTTGTTTTGAGAGGAAAATGGCATTCACAGGGAGTTGATAGCACCCTATACACCACAGCAAAACGGTGTGGCCGAACGCAAGAATCCCACGGTTGTAGAGATGGCTAGGAGTATGTTGAAAGCAAAAGGGCTGCCTGATATTTTTTGGGCTGAAGCGGTTGCTACGACAGTATATATTCTGAACATTTCGCCCACAAAAGCAGTCCTAAACCAGATTCCTTATGAAGCTTGGAATGGTACCAAACTGTCTGTAAGCCATTTACGTATTTTTGGTTGTATTTCCTATGCTTTGGTCAATTCTGAAAATCGTAGTAAGCTTGATGATAAGTTAGTCAAATGTATTTTTGTTCGCTATTGTTCACACTCCAAAGCATATAGGTTGTATAACCCTGTAAACGGTAAAGTAATTATTAGCAGAAGTGTTAAGTTTGATGAAAAATCTAGCTGGAATTGGAATGTTGGTGAAGATGTAGCAGAACCTCAAGTTTCAGGTGGTGATGAAGGTGTTGATGAAACTTCGGCAGCTGGTTTTTCTGAGCAGACAACACCCGCAGACAGTCCACAAAGGCTTTGAAATAGCTCTCCTTCCTCAGATAGCTCGGAAACTCCTCCAAGAAGGTTCAGAAAGTTGCAGGAGATATATGAAAACACGCAGGCCTTGTTTGTTACTGAACCAACTAGCTTTGGGGAAGCTGTAGCAAAAGAAGAGTGGATCAAGGCAATGGAAGAAGAGCTGGCTGCAATTAACAGGAATGAGACCTGGGAGTTGGTAGAATTGCCTGAAGGAAAAAAATGCAATTGGATTGAAATGAGTGTCTAAGACTAAGTATCATGCTGATGGGAACATTGAAAGGCATAAGGCGAGACTGGTAGTGAAGGGATATGCGCAGACGTATGGTGTGGATTATGAAGAAACATTCTCCCAAAGATTTGAAATTGTAAGAATTTTCTTGGCCTTTGCTACTTTTATGAAGTTGTCGGTTTATCAATTTGATGTAAAATCTGCCTTTTTGAATGGAGAATTGTTAGAGGATGTTTATGTCACTCAACCTGAAGGTTTTGTGATAAAAGGCCAGGAAGATAAAATCTATAAGCTGAAAAAAGCGTTGTACGGATTGAAACAGGCACCACGAGCATGGTATAGTAAGATTGATGCGTACTTTCAGCAATTTGGCTTCAGAAGAAGTGAAAATGAGCCTACACTTTACTTGAAGAGGGGAGGTAGTTCTGAGTTTCTTATTGTCTACCTCTATGTTGATGATATAATTTATATGGGATCTTCAAGTGCTTTAGTTGATGATTTTAAGAATGGCATGATGAAGAATTTTGAGATGACCGATTTTGGTTTATTGCATTATTTTCTTGGACTTGAAGTATTGCAAAAGGAAGATGGTATTTTCATTTCTCAATGCAATATGCTATTGAAATGCTTAAGAAGTTCAATTTGCTGAATTGCAATGGAGTTTGTACACCTATGAACTTGAATGACAAGTTGCAGCCCAGTGATGGAACAGAGTTGGCTGATGTTAAGTACTTCAGAAGCTTGGTTGATGGCTTGATTTATTTAACTTATACAAGGCCTGATATTGCATTTTCAGTTGGTGTTGTATCACGGTTTATGCAAACTCCTTCCAAGCATCATCTTGGAGCAGCAAAACGTATTTTGTGTTATATTGCTAGTACAGTGAATTATGGATTGTGGTATTTTGCAGGTGCTGATTTTTGTTTGCAGGGATTTTCTGATAGTGATTGGGCGGGTTCTAATGACATGAAGAGTACTTCAGGGAGCCTATTTCATCTTGGTTCTGGAGCAGTTAGTTGGAGTTCCAAAAAACAAGCAACAACAGCATTATCATCTACTGAAGCTAAATATGTCGCTGCAACTTTAGCTGCTTGTCAGGATGTGTGGCTGAGACTGTTGCTTGCTGATTTTGGTCAAGAACAAGAAGGTGGAACTGAGATTCTCTGTGATAACAGGCCTACTATTGCTCTGAGTGAAAATCCAACACTTCACGGAAGGACGAAGCACATCAACATCCGAGTTCACTTCATTCGTGAGTTGGTAGCTGGAGGACAAGCTCAACTGCAATTTTGCAATACTAATGAACAAGTGGCAGACATTTTCACCAAGTCTCTTTCAAGAGATAAACATGTTCATTTTCGAAGCAAGCTTGGAATATGCAACTTTGAATCAAGGGGGAGTGTTGAAGACTGATTCAAAGTTGACTTGGTAGTGGATTAGCCGTTGCTGATTTATTGCTGTTTTGTTGCTGATTTTCTGGTCATTTTCTCCCGTTTTTCAGTTTATTTCAATGTGGCTTAGTGCCTGGTTTTTCTCTTTTGATCGTTCAAGTTGTCTAGGGAAGGCCTATGTAAAGGTATGCTAAGTGTTTGAATAAATATGTCAATGAACATCATATTCTTTTCTTCATATAATCTCTTAATTTCAGAGCTTAAAACTTGTTTCTTTGTCTTTCTTATTTTCTCTAAAGCAACAGATATATGTGTTTCCATGCATGTAGAGCACATCACTGACGCTATTCATTCCTTTTGATGGAGCTACTTGGGTTTAAGAAGATCAATGCAATCATACATACAGTACTTTACAAGTACTTATTAAACCTTTTTTTTTTTTTTTTTTTAATTTTCAATTAGCGGATTGATTGATGTCCATGACAAATATTTCATCCCGACGAGTAATCCTTAAAATTTTGTTATTAGGTTCCTTTTAGGCTTTTACAAGTGATGTACTGGATCGAAACACTTCTAATTAATACATGTGATTTTTATTCAAGAAATTAATACATAAAGTTGTAACAATATGTATCTTGGGTCGTAAATAAAAATGTAACAATATTCTGGAATCCAATTAACTAATACACTGCGTACTCTTCCTATGCTTAGTATGTTGTTGAAAAATTGCTGTTGTTTTATTGGGATCGATTGGCTAATCATGAAGGGCCAGTTCACAAACTTTCTTTCTGATAATTCCTGGGAGTCCATTACATTTCTTGGAAAAATACGAAGGGGATCGAAGAAGTGCTGTTTACATTTATCTCTATTGAAAGTTTTCGTTCAGTTAATCAGTTTTAACCTATCTATGATACCCATTATCAGTTTTCAAAGTTCTGCCTGTAATTTCCGTTTCATCATTGATTGCATTTCAATCTCAAACAATTCACCGGGAAGAAATATTCTTTAGAAATAATTAGAAAATTGAACAATATATTGAAGGTTTGAAATATCCAAGAAGAAAACATAGTAATGATTATATCCAGAGTTAGCAAGCCTATTGCGAAAATAGACAATTACCATTGGGAAACTACTTGGGAAAGATAAGTTTGAGGCCTCTCGAAGGGCTCAAATATGAATGAATTGAGAAGGGATTGCGAACACCAGAATTGCAATATGATGGAGTATAACACAGAAGAATATATATTGTCCATAGAGGAAAAAAAAATTAAAATCAAGAAAGAAGCATTTAATATAAAGAATCAAAGCCGATCGAGAGAACCCGTTTTATTAAAAAAATCTACATCATGAGCTCACACTGATCACAAAATGATCAGAAGAATCATGAAAGTAGTACATAAGCAGATTACACAGTCAAAACAAAGGAGGGGGAACAAAAACAAAAACACAGGAAACAGATGAAATGCATGCATATTATGAATAAATAATATGCGTTCTGGTGGTGATGATCAAAACGCGAACAACGCATGAGAACTAAAATAGCTAGGGTTCTTCTACGTACTCAAATGAAATCATTTCATCGTCTTATGGTAAATCATACTATTCGACTTTGGATCGACTCTGATTGTGTGGGTGATGCATGGCCGCTTCAGGCGGATGCAATGGTGACGTTGGTCTTGAATCCGAGAAGGCAGTTAATCGGGTCGGCAATGAAGTAGCGGGTGCCAGGAGCCACCAAAGGAATGGAAACCGGAAGCCCTAGTGTACCGACAGGGAGGAGGTTGCCGATGTCGCAGGTGGCAAAGGCAGCCGCAGTTACCTCGTACACTGGAAGCACTGTGCCGAGAGGGCCATTGAAAACTGCAGCACAAATCCAATAGAATCATTCGTCAGTCACAAATATACATATACATACATTCTCGACACTTGCATTATAAATCAATTAATTAGCAAGTCATAAAAATCATTTTTTTTTACGGCGTAAACTGAATAAAACATTCTTATATTCATTCACCAGGTAGCTAGGGCTAAGAAAAAAGAATAGAAACTTACGAAGGGTATCTCCAACTTTAAGGACCTGGGAGATTTGGCAAAGGATAGGGCTCAGGAGAGGGCCTACGATGGGAACCCACCCAAGGGTGCCACACACCAAGTACTCGACTCCGGCCATACTTGGGGTGGTCAAAGCCAGGCCCATGATGACGAACAAACAAAAGAACTTAGTTGCTGCTGAAGTGGAAGCCATGATGAAGATGATGGATTGATTGAAGAAATGATCAGTAAAATGCAAAAGTATTGCTGATTTGCAAGAAGATATATAGATGGAGTGTGAGAGTGGGTTGAACTGTGAAGAAATGCAGCCTTTATATAGAGGCGATGCGATGCAGCCCTGGAGGATTATTTAGTAAAATAATGTTTTGGGCACGAGTATGAACCTTAAAACCCGCCTTACCTGAGGTTTCGGGCCGAGTTTCTTGAGAGTTATGTCACTGTCCCTTTAACGTTTTGGTAAATGCTGTCTGCAACTATCTTTCCCAGGTTCTTTTGATCAATGAATAATTTTAAATAATAACCTAGTACTTTCATGACCTAAATTCAAAGCACTATAGCTAGTACGTTAGAAACTATAGCTAGCTGTGTATGCATGCTTGCAACTTGGAATGGTCATTACATATATCATGATCATGAGAGCTTTTCTTTCTGTAATTATTTCTTTATGCTCTGAATAATGCATTAACTCGAATGAATGAGTATTGCGCTATATAAAATTTCTTGAGAGATCTACGCAATCAAAATCATTATGTGCCTTAACTAGGGTTTGACATTAACTTTATGAGATCATTGCATAATCAAATTAACTTCATGATGTCGTGGTGTCTACCATTAACGAGAAAAACTAATAAATATTGTGAAAGGAGAACACCCTGTAATATGCAAAACTAATGGTGAGATGAAGTTCACCATCAACTAGTTAGCTGCCTTAGTACCATACACAAGGATATGGGTTTAAATCTCGAGCGACCCCATTAGTGGGATTCAAAAGTAACTCTGCTTCGTATTTCATTAATAGCGACAAGCTTTTGATCTGGGAATGTACATTAACTTAGCCTTTCTTTTCTCTTCTGTAAAAAGAAACAAACACCATCGGTGCTATCAAGTTAATTGGTTTGTGACGATAGCCATCAGTTTTATTAAAATTGGAAAAATATTAATTGTCACATGCCTGTTCGTACGCAATTGCACGTAGTTCTCTCCTTGGGAAAATCAGGAAAATTTGTTTTCAAAGACTTGAAAAGTCATGAATCCAGTAATTAAATAGTATTCATGTTCTTATATTGCATTACTGCTTAGTAAATGGCAATTTTCCAATTTATTTTATTATAATATTTTTAATTGCTTTTAAAGGCTCCTTTTGGTAACATTGATTTGGAGATTGGAATCGCATTGCTATTAAAGTTGTGTGGAATCGATTTGGAACGTCTTGATGTTCTGATTCAATCACAAGTTACACTTTTATTCCGTGCTGGAAGGATTAATTAAAATTATTCAATGCATCTTGTCATCTGATGAAGCTCTGTGTATATTTTTTTTAATGTCGAACAAAAACTACACTACTTGGTAAAATTTAATTCAACAAGGCTAGTTCCCATGGTGAAAACATTTCTTCAAAATAAATGTAGATTCAACTTTTCGAGGGAGGAGAAGAAGGGGGAAGAAAAGAGAGATAAAAAAAATAGAGAGAAGGCTTTTAGATTCTCATCTAGTTCTCAGGCTTCTCTTTGCTTTGTCTTATTCACTCAAGTGGTTGGTAAGATAACCTGTTCGATTTTACTATAAAAGTACTTTATTGAAATTTTGTGAGCACTGAATTATTTTATGAACACTTGCAAATTCATTTAACCAACCCATGTTCTACAAATTCATTTAAACCTTCATTTACTGTCGCATGTTCACTCTTGCAGGTGGTTCGTTTTTAATTTAGTTTGAATAAATGAGATTCTAATTCTCGAAGTTATTTTTATTTTTTAAAAAATGATAGTACTGTTCTTAATCATAGTAGATTGTAATTTACTAGTTGGGGCGGCTTCTATTCTTAATCAAAGTTTTCTTTTACTAACACCAGCCTTAACCCGTCATTGGATATATTGTCGGGGTTATGTGTCAAAATCTTAGTAAATGATGTAAAAAATAGTGTAAGATTATGGTATTGGAAATCTTTTGCCATGTTTTACAATTACACTAATGGCAAGTGGATCTAGATCTCTACTATGTATCATTTTTGTTATGATTTTTCTAATGAATACACCATAATACTTCTCTCTCTCCCCCTCTCTCTCTCTCCCCCCCCCTCTCTCTCTCTTTATTCTAGGGGCGATTTGACCTTCATGGCGTGTTCTTACTACCGATTGATTCCTTCGACGAATTTGTCTGCGATGGCTATGAAATCAAGGGCGAAAGAGAGATCAAACATGGATGAAGCTCAGAATCAAGAACGAGAGCAGTATATTAAGGATCAAAACACATCAATTAGAAGTAAAACAGCTCAGCTCAGTAAACCTAATTTGGCATTAAATGCTCTGTCTGAATCGCATTCAATACTAGAGAAAGTTTATAATCAGAATGTTCTAGCAATTCGAGGATGTTTGAAAGCAGCTGAGCTAAATATTGGTGAAAATTTTTGCAAAAAGCAAGTTACTGAAATAAATATGTGGAAGAATTTGATCCAAGAATGCTTCGGAATGAGAAAAAGCTGAAATTCGTTGAACCTAAAATCATGAATAATAGAGCTGTGGATAAAATTACGAAGGAAGAAATTCAAAACGAAGTAGATTACTAGAAGCCTTCGATTCTGTGTTATGTGCTTGGAGCAAATCCACCAATAGCGGTTATGAATGGATATTTCAGAAGAATCTGGGGGAAGCTGGGGGGTGGATAAGATCTTGTTAATGGAAAATGGTGTGTATGTTGTTCAATAAAAAACAATGGCGGCAAAGGAGGAAGTTCTGAAGCAGAGAAATTACCAATTGAATCGAAGGCCTGTGATTGTTAAAGACGGGTCAATTACAGAAGACCTGAGTATGGAGGAAATCAAGAAGATACCGGTTTGGGTACAATTTCCTAAATTGAAGTTGAGATACTGGAATGCAACTTTACTGAGTACTATAGCAAGCATGGTGGGTATTCCAATGGAAATGGATGATTTGACTTCACAGAAAATGAAATCAGGTTATGCTACAGTCTTAGTAGAAGTGGTTATACAGGAGAAACTTAAAGAGGTGGTGCGGTTTGAAGATAAAAACAGAAAGTTGTATTTGAATGGAAGCCAGTCAGATGCTTAAACTGCAAGGGGTATGGGCATGAAACAGCAACATGTAGGCTTCCTGTAACCCAAGGATGGTAAAAGAAGGCTTCACCTACGAAAGAAGAATGAACAGAAATGGCTTCACCAAAAGTAAGTCCTGGAAAAAATCATGAGAACATTATTGAATCAAGTAAGCAAATGGAAAGGACTGGGAGTGCAGGATCAGGAAAAAAGTGTTGGGCCGGTTCCCCTCAATCAGCCCAACAAGGTTTGAAACCAAAAACAAATTGGTTTTGATTTTTTTTTGCCAGAAAAAAAAAAAAAACAAAACCATTTACAATTAGGTTTTGGTTTCTTAGGCATTGACCGTGGGCTATAAAAGCCAAGGTCCTTTTATGTTTTTAGCTGAGAGAGAAGGAGAATTAGGGCAGCCGCGCAAGGGTTTTGTGCGAGAGAAAAAGAAAGAAAGCTAGGGTTTAGTTTTTGGTTTAACTCTCTTTTGGTTAGATCCTTCCAGTCCTACTCTGTGATAGGTATATTGGAAGAGTATTGTTGTAATCCACCTTTGGGTGAAGTCCTGTGTATCCACCAGTTGGTGAAGACTGTTTTCCCATTATTGTGATAGTGGAGATTTGACTGTTGTTACAGTCCCGTGGTTTTTCCCGATTTGGGTTTCCACGTAAATTTGTGTGTCTACTTTACTTTATCAGTTCTTGAATTAGTTGCTTGTTTGGTTGGTTGTCCTATTTTATTGGTAGTAGGAAAGGAGTTTTTCTTGGGAATCGTTTCCGCTAGTTTGTTGTGTTTATACCCTTTCTGCCACAACAGTGGCATCAGAGCTACGGTTCGATAGTTGTGGTATTACACCAATAAAATGGAAGAGTCATCGGGTGCTGGTACGATGATTAAATTAACTTCATCCAATTATCATATGTGGAAACCTAGAATGGAAGACTTGTTGTATTGCAAAGATTTGTTTGATCCTATTCTAGGGGATGAAGGTAGACCAAGTGATATGACTGATAAAAAGTGGGCTGATATGCACAGAAGACTGTTGGTAATATTTGATAGTGGATTGATCAAAGTGTGTTTCATCACTTTTCGGGAGAAATAAAAGCGATGAACTTTGGGAGAAAATCCGAATATGTATTGGAAGAAGTTCGGCATCAATAAGTCATCTGTACCAAACAGTTACGGGTTGAGGTACAAAGATGGTGCTAGCATGAATGAGCACTTGAGTTCGTTTCAGGGTTTATTGAACCAAGCTGTGAATGTAGGTTTAAAGTTGGATGATGAGGTGCAGGCTTTGTTATTGTTTAGTTCTCTTCCAGACAGTTGGGACACTTTGGTATTGTCAATCAGTAATTCAACCCAGGATGGTGTCTTGACCTTGGATCAGGTCAAAGAGGTTTTGATGAATGAAGAAGTCAGAAGAAAAGAGCAGAGTATTGAGTCTGAGTCGCAGGCTCTGATGACAGAAAATTCAGACATAAGATGGAGAAGTAAAAGTAGAGGGCCACGTGATCGGAATAACAAGTCAAGGGGATTGTCTAAATCCAAGAAAGATGTCGTCTGCTACCATTGTCAAGGGAATGGGCACTTTAAGAGGGAGTGCAGGGTTCTCAAGAGAGAACTAGCAGCGAGAAAAGGTAAAGGCAAGAAGGATGAATCAAGTGATGATGACACTACTGCAGTAGTAACTACCAGTGATGTATTTGTGTACTGTGAAGATGATACAATTAATGTTGCGAGTCACGACAGTGATTGGTTCGGTGATTCATGTGCGTCTTATCATGTGACGCCTCATAGACACTTCCTTACCTCTTACACACCTGGAGATTTTGGTCGTGTAAGAATGGACAACCAAGCCTCATGTGATGTTGTCGGCATGGGAG